CAAGAAATCAAATGCAATAACTCCAATAAACAATAAACCCATTAATTTCTCCAAGTTCTTATAAGATATGTACAATAATATTGGATGATTTTGTTCAGTGAGTACAAGTGAGACATAACTCATGCTTGCAGGTGAAGAAGAGGAATATACATGTAGCCCTGTGGTCTATCAATCAGCCGATGACAAACGTCACAAATTGGCCTGACGTTTTGACTTTAATTTGTCCCCTTATCAATTCCGTAGTCGGGCAGACGGAACGAACGGGGAAGGTGAACACGCGAGGATCACCCTGTGACGTGTGGAGATGTGCGCAGGCACGTTCTACCGCCGTGGGGCTGTATTTAGGGCATGGACACTTCATACACCACACCGCATGGTACAGACGTCAGGCGTAATAAGCAGGATCAGAAAGAAAATTACACCCTTTCAAACATCATCAGTTTTAGAGACCATGTGCTGCATGTAAAGTTGGGAAACCTTCTTCATGGTGCCCAATGCAATTTTAGGTCTTAAAAACCAAATTTTTCAAAGTCAATATTCTAGTCACTTATCGACAAACTAAGTTGAAACTAAGTTCTGATTTATACAAATAGCTTCCGAACGGTACGCAGAATCCCAAGTCTAGTAGGCAATGAACCTGAACCGGTCTGAAAAATATCGCAAGATCGAACGAAACACGTTCTTAAACCTGACCTGAATCCGACATTGCTGCAACTTGGTGAAGGTAGACCTTACTTTGCAGCAGTATGTCATAATAAGGCAGCCCTACCCTTCCCAGTTGTACGTGTGCCCGGCATGTTTATAGGAACCTCATTAGAAGTTATTATATCGAGCTGCTGTTCCAGGGAAGCTATAGGTCCGCATCCTCACGCGATGGGTGTTCTAGTGGTTATTAACATGCTCGCTCATGCATGCACACATCTGACTCATTCTCAAGGACAGCCCGCATTGTATATCGGAAATCAGTTCGAGAAAAAAATCAACCAGGCCTGTCACCTACAGCAAATACTCACATATCATAGAAGTGGGTAAATTCGTATTCCTCTGCCTCAAAATAAGACAAACTCCGCGTATGTTGTCGAATATTCTCTTATAAATGTTGTCTTCCTTTGCCTCAAAAGAAGAAGCCAAATCCAACAAAACTAGTACCACGTATGTTGCAGAATGTTAGATGTTGTTTATTACAACATTATATTTTGTTTGTCATACATGTTGTTTGTTTGTCCTTGCAATTAGCCCCCTGGCATGTATTTGCAATTAACTTTATCATTGTTTTGAACTCGAACATTGCCTGATTACTTCTGCTCAATGGGTGGATGTTGTTGATTTTGTCTTTGTTACTTTGTCAATGACTGTGTGTTTGTTTGTTTGTTTATTTATTTGTTTGTGTTTTAGGAACTAAATGATATATGGGTGGATCTTTGTCATGTGTTTGGATTGATCGCGGTAGGGCAAACATATTAATTAGACTTTTGGCGCCTTATGTTTTCAGTTACTCGTACTTTTGCAGTGATGAATTTGAAGACACTCATTTTTTGGCACCTCGTTGCGTTACTAGGAAAGAATAATTAATCGTATTCTAATTGACAATCGAGGCATCTCTACTGGTGCAATTAGTTTGTTTTGGTTCGTAATACATAATTCGATCTCCGATACGTATCCTGATATGGTCACATGACTCTTGTAATGAATGGGTTATGTCTCCTAATTGACTTAGGCAGATCATTACGTCATTAAGATGATTACACCACACTTGGTGATTAGCTTGCTGGTGGCTTGGTCGATTCAGAAATGAATTTTGTGATTTTAATAGTTTATTGTCATGCCATACGCAACCTTGGCATTACTGCTAGTATTACAGACCTTTATTATATTTACTTTCCTATGTATACAAGGCAGGCTCTAGACATGTTTTATGTAACAAGCTATTTACATTTCTCGAAGCAAATATAGCAAATTGCAAGTTATTCGATGTCCCAGACAGATTTGAATATATCTTTTTAAAGATATATTTAAAAATGCAATAACTCACACAATACAAAATATGTAAATATGTATCGAAAATCATTATTAGCACAACTCGATGGTAACACTTTATCAAAGACTGTTTTAATTGCCGTTCTAGGATATTATTTTTATTCTATATTTTTGTGCTATGTCCAATAGTTGCTACCATACATTGTACCATGTACAACTGTCGTGCAATAAAGTTCTTCTTCCATACTGCGATGCCTGCACTGCCCTGTCCCTAACATGAAATATACGTGTATATTAGAGATATCACCAGGATGCTCTAAAGTTAATACTGTGATCGCCCTATATGGCATTATAATAACGCAGTCAGAGACCCGTGCTTTCCTCAGTGAATAGCTTCCAATTCTTCACACCAGCTTTCGTAACTATCTCATAAACTACCCTAATTCAGTATCTGCTCCGCTCCCTACGCGCTTTATTATGTAGTTAAGGAACCCTGCTGCACCCAAGGACACCACATAAACACCCTTTGGCCCGTTTCCTACACATTATCCCCAAGTATTACTATCATTATTTCTTCATTACTACCAATCTAGCCTCAGTTACTTAGCAATACCAGTGATGTTTCAGTCCTTTTGATCCCTCATTTGATTTAAAACCTCATTTATTAAACCACTCAGTGCACAGTATGATAGGTCAAAACATATATACGACATATTATGTGAAGAAAAGGTCATGGCTCTCTGTACAGGCCCGGGAGTAACTCTGGTATATAAAATCATTAAAAATAAAAGGTCATAGACTTTCAATCATTTCTCTAATGTTACCGGCAAAAGATATAGTATCGCGAAAACTAATGTTATATTGCCCCATTCAAAACTAGAAATCTTCAACATGCTCCTATCATACTCCATACATTGTACCAGTTACAGTTGTTGAGCAATTAAGTTGATTTGACTTTGTAGCTATAGTCTACAAGTGTAAGATATTGTGGTTGCAGCGTTTTGAAAGACCGTTTCTAAATTAACATGATGATGCACAATAAGTCTGTTGTAATGTTTGCTTAAATCACAGCCCTCACACTGGGTGGGTATGGCAGAATGTATGACTCACCCCATCCCAACGTTGTTATGGTACGATGCTATTCTCAAGAATAATTTTGTTTACAAACAAGCAAATGCCAAACATGACAGCATACTGCCTGCAACTAATTTCAGAAAGTAATTGTGAAAATAATATGCTAATTTGTTATTTTAGACGACCAGGGAGTAATGAAAATTCCTATTTATTGGCTATCTATAAATGCCTTGCTTGTGATGTACTAAAATTCTAATATTTCCACGTATAATGTAAAAAATCTCTGTACAAGATATTTTATCCTTTTAATCCATTGACGACACTGTTCCTATTGCCTTATGTATAAACCTATGCACTTTGTAATTTTATACAGTTTCATGTTGTACAGTATCTTTATCACTTTCTCGTAATTGCATATATGTAGTTACATGTAGCATGACTTGAGTGCACAATTCAGCATCTTCCGCTACGCGTATGTAGAAAACGCTGCCATGTATAATGACGAATCAAGTATAGGCAACTTCAACGAACTTCAATCTGGTACTACATACATTACAAAATTGAAACAGACAACGCTCTTGAGTGCAGCCCGGCTAGACTTTGTGCCAGCATTTACGCCAGGATATCGTCTGCCGATGACTTGGCGGCATGGCCTTTTCGCAGTGTTGAGTCAACACAAACACAAGGATGTGTTTACAGACGACAAGTAACGATCATTCTGCCTGACACATGAGGTCATAGGAATGGGCCATCCCATTCACGACAGGGGACGATATTAATAATGCATCGATACTTTCCTGACCTCCAGTCTGTCGATATCATTTTTCTTCGACCTAACTCTTCATATCTGTAATCAATTCTTTCACCTCTTCTCGCCCATTGATTTTGTGCATTTGCCATAGTACATAATTACACCTACTTGGTATCGCCTACTGTTATAGTCACACCAGAAAATGACAGTTACAGTTTTGTTGACCAAGTGTTGTTACAGCTTGATACCAACCAATTTCTGCATTACATGTGTAAACTTGGAAAGAAAACATAAAAGCACACCCCCACCAAATTCAGGAAAATGGAATGACCGTGATAAAATCACAGATTGCCTCGGCAATGAAACAATGATTTCCGCCCGGTCGGCAGCTCGCGTGCAGGAGTAAGACTTACAGCACTAAGGACAACATAAAGCTTCTAACTTCACCTAAGGCATAATACACTGCAGGGTAAGTGTTCAGGCGTCACGCATTTCAAAGAAGACTAAACCCATGATCTACTGTTCTTTTCTGTCGCTATTACCAACATGCCCCCGGTGGCGTTCTGGATTTTATTGCAGGCTTTTGATTATTGTTATTTACGTTATTACAAAGCCGAGGAATTGTAGCCGATGTGGTTTTATCTAATAACAAATTACACAGAAAGCCGTAAGAGAAGCTGTAAAACAAATGTAAGTGGAACGTGATTCGACATAGCGTATATCATTTTGTGAAGTGGGTACTTCGAATTCTCTTTTGGAAATGACGAAAAATAGGCCGCATTGTACAGCGCTATTTACCTCTGAAGCCACTAACCACTAACCTCACCTCTCATTGGCCTTTGCTATGATTTACTATGTGGTTTGAGTATCGAGTTTCAAGGGGATACCGTTACGACATCACTATCGGGCTAGCTAGACACAGCCACCGTGGAGTAAGACCAAGCATAACTCTATCCTGGGACTCAAAGCTCGAGGAGGGAAGGGGAAAACTTGGCACGAAGTGTTGTCTGAACGTAACACGATAGACGTGGTGGGAGATGGTGACACGAGACAAGTGTAGGACTGGCTCTAAAGAGCGGAACATGATCGGTTAGGGAAAGACCGTCAGAGTGGCAAGTGTGTGTGCGTGTGGTGTAGTCTGATCGACCAATGATGTGTCATTACAGTGCTTGGTAGAAAAACAAGTGAAAGTCGGTACCGTCTCTGCTGGATGCTGGCCTGCGGCTGGAGTGTCGGGCCCGGCCCGGTGGTAGTCGAGGCTTGCGATGAGAGCTGAGGCCAGGACATGCGCGAGTGTTGGATGGGCGGGCGCTCTCGCGACCGGACCCGCTCCAGGGACAGGTGCATCCGGCCTTTCCCGTCCACGGTCTCCTTCTTCACGACTACGGGCGTGGAGGATGATCCAAAGGTGATGGGGATCTCCCGTTTGGCGGCGTGCGCCCAGAGGTGCCTCGGCTGCTGCGGCCCTTGCCCCTGCCCCGTATTACCAGATCCTCCCTCCATGTTTCAGCCTTGCGACCACACGAGAAAAGACGACAGGAATCACCACGTACCAACTCCAGCTGAACGTACGGTCTGTTTGGCCCGTCGCGCTGTGTTTGCTTATGTCGCCTCCCCTCCGAACGACGCAGTCGCACACCAGGCAACTTTGACCCCTGTCAACCTTCGCACACGAGCCTGTGTGTGCGGGAACTCCGTACGGCCGAGGCTATAGGATAGTATGTTCCAATGGTCCTGCCTGTACAACTCGCTCTTGATGGCTCAAGACAAGTGCGCGTCTTGGCGACCACCCGCCGATCATGCGCTCCAAACTCGCCAGCCCGCTCAAATTCCGGACCTCCGAAGAATGTTGCCGATGTCGGCGCGTGCACAGCTCAGATCCGTCCCGCGCGGCGAGGCGGCGGGAGAGGGGGTTGGGGTACCGGGTGGACACGAGCGCTGACAGACTGAGAAGCTCCCCCTGGCGTCCCAATCCGCGCAACTGCTCTCACCCCTACACACGCCTCTGGGAAGGGGGTGACGTTTGGAGGCAAACCCCTCCAATTGGCTCCGTCGAACTTATTGAAACCCGATACAGTTATAAATAAATAATGTAATTAGGACAGATGACGTATCCTTCACGTCCCCTAACGACCTGGCCGGCGCAAAACGTGCCGTGCTAGATGGTTAAGCCGTCAAAATCTCTTTGAGTTCCAGAATGCTGTAGTGCTCTGATATAATAGCACGGTAGCGATCACTCATCTAGATACGGGGCAGGGCGACGGATCCGCATACGTACGTTCTTCTGAATACTTTCACTCACGTAAACACGGAGCGCATCCTGGTCCGACTACCGGGGTAAACAGGACACACACACACGCGGCTAGGGACAGTCCAAAACTCAGCCTGGGATGTTAAAGGGGGTACAGAGGACGAGTTGTATACGTGGTGCGCGGTTCGACCCGAATTCCGGCCCTACCATATGAGGGAGAAGCAGTCAGCAGGCCAGCGGCCCGACTGGGGATTCCAGCAGCTCAGATACTAGTACACGGCAATCCTGGGAAACCGGTTCACGGACGCACAGATGCGCACACAAACAACAAACATGCTTTCTGGAACTTGGACGTGAAATCTGACAACCTTTTAGCTCGCGCTGAACGACCGTTTAGTTGTGAGATTATCACAGCGGTTCGAGGTACCCCCACGCGTTGAGCGGTTATATTAATAAAGCTAACTAGCGTGCGCGTAGGGCCGCTGGCACTGACTATTAGCGCCCCTGCATTTACGGAATTGGCAATCTGCCAGGCTGTACACCCGCGCAGTATGGCAACACTGTGCTGGCATCTCTTGGCAGACCTCATAAAACGATATTTGTTGCAATTTACGGAACATCCACTAATTTTTCTACCCACGAGCGAATGACTCACACACACACTCTCCCCATTCCCACACAGAATATTAGATTCTCACATCCTCACTCTACAACTTTTATCGATCTTCCCGGCAGCATCACGTCCGTCCGGACCTTTCACGCCCCCTCTCAACATTCTTCTTTATTGCCCCCCTTTCGGTAATGCCACCTGACAGATGCACGCTTCACTTTACCGGTCGTCCTGAAGGATGTCCTCGGCCGCCTCGCCGTCGCTGTCCGTCACGGCGATGCGGATGGGGCGCAGCCGTAGCGAGCACGGCTTGGTCGCCATCAGTGCCGGGTTGCTGTTCCGGCGATGCCGGTGGCGCTCGAAGATGGCCGCCGCCTCGAGGATCTCGTGGTCGCAGTGCCGGGGTGCTGTCCCCGCGCCTTCGGTGTCCTTCTCAGCGTCCTGCCGAGCGCCGATTCCCAGCGCCTGGGGGGAGAACGAGAGGCGAGAGAATCAGAACGACAACCTCGCACACACGCACAGGTGGCTGCGTCAAAGAGAACCACTACACTCACTCGACACCAGTGTCGAGTCGCTACTACTTCACACCGGGTATTAAGTGCTTGGGTGTTTAATGTTCCCTCGCGAGCGACGCACGTTTGCATCGCTGGAGTACTTCGGGAAGCGACCCTGAAAAGTTAGCACAGAAAACTTTACAACACCGCAACGGGGACTGAGCCATGTGCAACGATATACCTACCTCCTTCCCCGCTCTCTTAAAGATTCGACCGTCCCCCATCTTTCCTATAAAACACTAGCAGGTACGAACAGCTAAAGTAGGGAGGGGGGCGTGCAGTGGAGTCCAACTGCCTTCATTAAGACCAAAGGTTTGATTGAAGAAATGATGTGAACCGTGATCCATGGGTCAAGCAAACATCGATTCCACCCCCTGCCGTCCATTCTTTTAGAAGTCCTCATCTCATCCGAGCACGGCCAACTCTTATTTTAAGTACAGGAACATCCCATCGTAAATCCCCGGACAGGGGGGTTAGTGTGATAATTATGGAGAATAAATAAACTAAAGGGGTTATCACTTGATAAATGCCCATGCACGATGCTGATGAAATGTCCCGTGCCTCACGGTTTCAACCTGTCTGATAATACAGCCCCTGTGTTTAGATATGACCTGAGTACATTATGTAGATTAAACATAGGCCTCAATATTATTTTCGTTGTTATGATCAAGAAATGAAGTTGATTGTTATTACTGTTTGGATTATCACCATTGTTATCATTATCATTATTGTTATTGTTATATCGTTATCATTTTCGTGTTGTATGGTATGGTTAAGTAGTCATTAAACAAACATTTCTTGCACAATAGTGGCCTCTAATGTGCCTTTTGAAAACATTTTTTCGCTCTATCACAAAATATCATCACAAGGCTATCATTACGATAAGAAATTCCAGGCATTTATTCATCAGTTTTATCAACATCAATATTATCAACATCACCATTACACTCTTACAGTCCTCAATGCTGGCAGTTCTTGTACTTTCGTGTTCTGGACGGGTGATGTTGTTTTGCCATTTGAAGAATAAATAATGATAATTTTGAAACGCTGCTATCAACTTTCGATCGAGAGGACATTTCATTAGTGGCAATATGGCCACGACAATTGTCATATCCCCGATGAGGACATGTGTGTGTGTGACGGTGGTGATGAAGCACGTGTACCATCGAGAGCTCTCACTGGCTTCTCATTGAGCTCTTCCGTCCGCTCAACTCATGAAGAGAAATGTGCGCACTGTTTTACCCTGACTGTTCAATACGATTACCCCTACAGTCATTAGTGCATTAGCTGGAAGTGACTTACGTGAAGAGAATAAAACATTATCGCTCTATACCAAACCCTGCTTCTGAAGAAGGGAATATTTTAACTTTACTCAACAATTCATGATCATTAACGCAACAAAACGTTTCTAAAATTCAATTTTCCATTGTAATTTTTGTGGAATTGGTCATGCGCTTCCAACATCTTTGTATTTTATCACGTTGTGCTACATGTTTATTATCCTTTGTACTTCAGTTAATTGGCTTTTCGTGTTAATCTATTTTTTGTTACGTATTAGTGGTAGAGTCCTTGCTACTTGAGTGCACTACCACTTTGTGTTCTATTACTTTCCTTGATGCGCGAATAAAAAAATAAGTAAATACTGCCTCCGCAAAACGAGCTCCACCTCAGCCAAAGCTGAGCAATAATCCTCTTCAGAATCTAAATAGAATCGGAGGCACTCTCTTCTGATTTGTGGCCCTTTAAGGATAAAGCAAGACGCCCACTCTCATCTTGAAGACATTGCTCACAGAAAGTGTCCTACAGCGCGTTCAAGGACATCACCACTCGTTTTGTCAACTTCCGATCTCATGAATAGATATAGAGTTTAGTCAGTTTTTCCAGAATACTTAAACTGTCTATAAAAATCATCAAATTTCACATATTGATCCATTCTAAACAGTTATCTTAGCATTTTGAACCCCATTTGCGGTTTATTATTTGTTTTGTTGTTCATTATTGATTTGTGTTCTGTGTCTGTGACGAGATTAAAAGTAGTAATTTGCTAGAGCTGTCCATCACTGTGCTTTGTACTCTTCACGTGGTTCAACAAAAAATGTTTTGCCAATCAAGGTTAACAACAACTAGTTTCAGTGATTTGAACAATTAAAGCCCCAAATCCGACTACATGAGCCAACTTCCAATTTCATCATTTACCTAGACTACGTGTAATTCATGCCAGCTACTGCGGTATACTTTATTAATGAAAAGTAATCAGTGTTCGATGACATTTGACGAAGATGCTCGACCTTGGCACGTTTAGAATACTGATAAGCTAATTTTATTATCAGACGATACAAACATACAGCACTAAGTCACCTTCACGTATACACCAGAGTCTGAAGCTAATAGAAAATCCCACTAATACATAACTAAACTTTCAGATCAGAGGTAGGTGCATTTTATTATTCTAACTATATAACTTTCTTCTTTTCCTTTGGACTTAATTTTGGCAATCTACAGTAGCATCGTTTGTTTTGTTAATTTACGACATATAGTTTCACATTTTTCAGCTTTGTACGACTTACAGTATGGTCGAAAACTATTTTTTTTGCAAACGGGCGAAAATTCATGCACGCGTGGATGTCATCCATACAATCACATCAACATGGCCTTAATGAAGTTTTCGGGATGCAATATCACGAGAATCTGCTTAATTTATCTTTGATCCATGAAGTATGATTCAGGGTACAGTGTGTCCTTTATCTCGGTATTGGTAATTACTCTGCTCTGAGACAATGTTTCAAAGGCGTTTATCTTTATTCTATAGATTACTAGATTTCCGACTGATGTTTCACTGATGACTATTGTATAGATACACGTAACAATGTATAAAATGCTCTTTGATTTACGTTATATGATTCTGACTGATGCTCGGTTGTGTAAATATTGTTATTGTTATTAGTTTCTCTTATTTCCTTATAGTGGAACAACAGTCATACTCGTTGTCTACATTGCCTGTTGGGTGAGGATTTTTGCCATAGAACTGCAATCTTTCAAACTCTGTTGCATCTTTCAAACTGAAACAATACCATCAAGGTATTTGTCAATCGATCTACTTAAAAGGGAGTGTCTTTTACGTGGAATCCAAATTGGAATCTACATCTTTGGAAGTGTTTTACCATTACGCGCTTCTTCGTTTCCTAAGGAAAACTACTGCACTTCAACATGGTGTATGGATCATCGTGAAGTGATAGAGAGAAAGAAAATCGGACTCAGGCGTGTGTGAAATCAAAGGGATTAGAGAAAGTAAGACACAATGATCTTAAAGTACCACTCTAACCTCGAAAATGGCTTTCTTTAAATCAACGCAAACCTTAATTTGAGAGCGTTCCAGAAGATCACAAGTGAGCAAGATCTACAGCAGATGGTTATCTGGTTAAATACCTGACAAGAGAAGTGGTATCTATTCCGACAGGATCAGACGTAG